GCGGCCCCGATCCACCCGCGTGGCGGTGCGGCAGTGCTGCGGGGCGCCGCGCCGGCTCTGGCCGCTGCAGACCCGCGGGCGTGGAAAGGGGTGGGGCGCGCGAGAGGGGCGGGGCGAGCGGCCTCTGCAGAGGAGGGGGCGTGGCCCTCGCCGGCCCCGCCCCGGGGACAACTGGTCCCGCCCCACCTCCTCAAGGGTGATCGCGGTGCCCTCCTCCTGGTCTGAAATACCCGCTCTGCGCCTCGCGGCCAATCCCAAATCTGCCCCGAGAAAGCTCTCGCCCTAGAATCGGCTTGGCCGGACCCTCCCTGGACGGCTATCCCTTTGGTTTTGGGGGCGAAAGGGACCCCGGCCACCTCCACTCCAGGTGTGTACCTGGAGACATGTTGTCCCCTCCTCCAGCCCCTGCGGGGAAATGCCCTACTAAAACTAAGCGACTCGTCCGCGCGTGACAGCTTCGCAGCGGCGACCTGAAAGCCGGCGAGCTGCCGCCTCCAGGGATGGAGGAAGCTCGAAGCCCCGGGGACACTGCAGCACGGCGGGTGATGAATAAATGAGTAACCACATCAATATTTAAGCATTCACTCCCTGTGCCAAAGCTCCTGCGACATGAGTGGGGTTTTTTAGATAATTACAGACACCCATTATTAAGTGCCTACTATGTGCCGAGCCCTGGGTGCTGGCTCCACGCCTGGTTTATTATTAGTAATGATCATGGTTTAATAATTATAAATGCTGAATTTCACTGGCCAGGGTGTTTTATAGACATTACCTCATTTTATCGTCAGGGCCACCTTGTGGGGTATGTTTTTTAATTCCTTTTTTTTTCAGAAGATAAATTGCAGCTTAAGTAAATTTGCCCAAAGTCCTTAACTGATGGAGGTGGGATCTAAATCCACCCAGTTGCCCCCAAAGCTTTTACTTCTTTTTCCCTTAACTTTTGGAGCTCGTATTTTTAATATAATGATTCTAAAACAGTATGATAGACACCGTTTTTTAAAAAATAGGTCAGAAGGGCTTGTGAGGAAAAGCATAAACCCCGCCCCTGAATTCAAGGATACCGCTTACAGCCGTTTGTGTTTTCATGCCTCGTGGTTGCCCTCATATGGCTGTGTAAAATGTTCCACAGCTCTATCTGGACTCATCGGGGATGGTCTTTATTGCTTTCCTGCTATGATGGGTAATGATTTCAGCTGGCTCACACCCACTTCCCTCAGTCTTGCATAGTAATGCTTTTATTTTTAGTTCATCTATTGGGTATGATTAGAGTAGAAGCCTCAACAGTACTTCTTGACTTTCTTTCCACTTCCCATGCCATATCCTCCATCAGGAATACCAGTGAAGGAAACCAACAGATGTAGTGGAGGAGGCCAGGGAAGCACAGCCCTAGCCCCCCCCCCCAGCCTCCCACAACCCTCCACTCAGAAGACAGGGTAGGGTGGTAGGGCACCCTGGGCTCTGGCTCTCAGCTTCCTGGCTTCAATATGTTCTCATCTGAAAATGGAAACAATGATTCCTACTTCAAACAGTTACTAAGATCATACAAACTGTCAAATTTTCATTAGGCAGAGATCCTCACAAGTGATCCCAAGGCTGAAAGCAATCGCTATCGATTGGAAACACGTACAATTTTTTTAAAAATTAAATTGAAAAAATGAGTCCAGGAGGGCTTATGGATTAGTTTGGTTGTTTAAGTGCCTGCTTGGGCAAACCCAGTCAGGCACAGGGAACAGCAGTTCGATCCCTAGCTCCACATGCTGAACCAGACCCACCCTTATGGCAGCCTGAGCTAGCCAAAAAAAAAAAAAAAAAAAATCCTTCTCAACTTTAAAAAAAGAAAAATAAGTCCAAGGAATCTGATTACCAAACACAGCTTTCCTTTTCTGACTACAAAAATAAATTGGAAAATACAGAAGAATATAAGGAAAATAAAAATAAACCATAATCCCACCATTCAGAAATAATTAATAATTGTTTATATTTCTAGTTTCTACACATGTGTTATTTTGTGTACATTAGCATTTTAAGGCAAGGAGAATGTAGGGCTGTACCTGTGAGCTCTGAAGTCCCTTGCCACCATGTGCTTCCTGGATATTATCTCATTCAGCCCTGAAGACCCCCATTTGCTTTTCCCTCTAATGTTGTTCCCTCAGTTCTATCGATGAGGAAACTAAAGCGAATAGAGCTTGTATAATTTCCCCAAGTAGCCAACTGGAAAATTGCAGAGACTGTGAAACAGGAGAAAACAGCTCTTTATGACTCTCTCCCATGGCCATCCCAGCTGGTCTGGCTACATCAGGCTGCCTCCAATGCCACCTTGAGAGATGTTTGCTTTGTCTGCAGCAGTCTTCAGTCAGATCTGTCCCAGGGAATTCCACCCTGCACCCTCACTGAATGACTCTGCGCCCTGCAGCCCTCCTCAGCTGGGTTCACAAAGGGCCAGTTCCCTGCCTTGTTTCAAACACATTACAATAAAGTAGATAACAAATAAATGTACATTTTCTGAATGCGTGGCTTATTATATATCAATGCGTACAGCAAGCTCTTATTCTATAAACTATACATAAGTAGGTATAAAGTCTTGCTCTGCTATTTAGATGAATATGAGATTAAACTGAGTTTGAGTTATTTAGGTTGGGAGAGTGCACCATTTTTAACAGGTCTTTACTTGCTTTTTGTTTTTTCTGTTTAACAGGTATCAAAGTTTGGGGTTATGCATGGAGGAACAATACAATGCAGGACACATTTTTTTTTTTTTTTTTTTTTGAGCCGGGGATTGAACTCAAGCCCTTGCACTTGCCAGGCAAGCGCTTATTCTACTGAGCCATCTCCCTGGCCCACAGGACACATTTTATAAAATTATTTTATGATGAGTCACCCAAAGAATTATATACAAAGAGTGCAGGAAATCTGTCCACACAATAAAGACCCCAGTATCCAGCTAAGGACCTTAACTCTAATATCTGTGTGAGTCCAGCTGAAAACATAGAGCTTATAACAATGCCTTCGACAAGTCTAACTGGAGACCTAGAACCCACCACAATGTCTCATGCAGGTTGCTTCATGGACCTGTGCTGGAAAGGCCCAAAGGTCAGTGGTGGTGAAAGCTAGAACGTCTGTGCCAGCGGGATGAAGGATCTGTGCCAGCAGCCTGAGGGATCTGCACTGAAGCCAGGAAGTGATGTTCAAAGTAAGAACATGAGGAGTGCCCCTCAAAAGTACCACAGCTGTCCCCAGTGACAGTGAGGTACTGAGCTCCTCCCAACAATGAGAAAAGCAAAGTTTCCGAGAGGAAACCCAACAGACAAGCTTCTTCAGGAGACTGAGCTAAACACCATCTTCCCCTCCACAGCGAGGAAGCAATGTTCAAGGTGAGGCCCAGAGCTCTCCCAAAGTGAACTGTAGCCATTCTCAGTGACAGTGAGGTCCTGAGCTCCTCCTCCAAAGAGAACAGCCAAGTTCATCAGGAAAGCCAGCATGACAAGATTTTCCAGCAGAATAGCCCAGGAGACCCAGTAGTCCCCAACAGTTTCAACAGCTTCTCCAAACAGCTTCCCTAACAGCCTCCCAACAGCTTCTCTAGTTCTGCCTTTTATGCTACTACTGGCAACAATCCTCAAATGGGCTTCCCACACCCAACACCACCCTAGCTCTGGCCAGCTGGGTGTAACAAATTGACCTCCAGTAGCAATCCACTACAATAGGATTTCTACAGCATCTATAACTCTTGAGGCTAGCATACATGGCTTGTGAGCAAAGCTTAGCCTTTCGTTAGAGATAATCATGTGGATCATCTGTATATGTGGCTTTGTGGTCATTTTCACACATCTTATCTGTTGCTCTAGTGATGGATGGGCCATCTTTGTAGTGTAATCAATCAATGTTTTGGGGGTGCTGCTTCCTTAGAGTTCTTGAAAATGCTCCACCTCAAATGTCAGCATGCTGTGATGTCATTACATACATGACATAACCAACACCATGTTCCTTATACCTGCCCATGACCAAACAGAAAACCTGACACTACACAATCGTAAGCCCACTTTTTTCCCTGTATAAGCAGTTTCCCCATGTCCTTAGCAGGGTCAGTTGCACTAGTCCCCTTTATGTTGTACCCTAGGTCCTAATTCAGCCTCTTCTAGATGGTATATTTTTGCTATTTGTACTTTCTGTCTCCAACAAAGAGCAGCTACACTAGGAGCTGGTAATACCAAAGACCACTAGTGCTGAAAGCCAACAGCAGCTGAGACTATGAGTACTGAAAGTGACCAGCAATAGAGGACTACAGGAAACAACAGAAAATTGCCAGGAACTACCATCTCAGTGTCCAGAGACGTTCCCCAGGTCCTCTTATTCTGAGCAGCAAGGAGAGCGGCTAACACTGACAGAGCTGATAGCCTTCGCATTCAATGCTGTTGACACTGAACAAGCTATCCTTTGCCAATTTGTGATTTTTGTAGGAACTGAGCAAGAATCCTCAGCTGATTAGTAATATGTATCTTAGAAGCCCGATGGGGATCCTCCCCTTTAAAGGGCCCTGAACATGTTGGCACATGCCTGTAACCCCAGCACGGGGAAGGCTGAGACAGGAGGATCACTCTGAGTCTGAATTGCAGAGTGAGACCCTGTATCAAGTTTTAAAAATAAATAAGTAAATGAAGGGCCCTGAAGAAGAGGACAATGGTGATTGGCAGGCTCAAAATCCAGACCATGTCTGACTTCCACCTTACTTGCAGCTAAGAATCCACACTAGCTGGTGACAACTGGACTTGAATCCAGGCCTCAGGGGCTTTCCTGGCTGGCACCCTGCCTTCACACCAGCTTACAGGTGATCTATGCATTACACCCATGTACAGCAGCAAAACAGGAAGTGTTCTCACAGCCCTTTTATAGATGA